GGATGGATGGGTGGGTGGATGGATGGGTGGGTGGATGGATGGGTGGGTGGACAGATGGAGGGATGGATGGATGGATGGGTGGGTGGATGGGAGGATAAATGATTGGTTGGAGGATGGGTGGGCAAAAGAATGGAGGGGTAGAGATGGATACCTGGGTCTGTGGAGGGAAGGAGAATGTCTATGCTATACAGAATTTGCAGAGCAGGAAAAGGGAAGAAAAAGCCCGGGCAGCCCTGGAACACCCTGGGTGGGGGTGGGGCAGCTCTGAGAGCACTGCTGAGTGGCGAGAACTAATCCAGAAGGACTGAATGAAGAAACTGATTCTGCCCAGGACTTAAGGAGGTGAGGGGAGGTTGTAGGGTCTTGGGGAAGCTGCTAGAAGTTGTGAGGGTAGAGGCTGATTGAAGTGGGAGTGAGAAAGCCCAGGGCAGCTGGAGAGAGCAGGAGGCCCAGAGAATGCTGAGCTTGGGTGATCTTGGACGGCAGGTCAGGAAGGGCCAGCCTGGGAAAAGAAGTCAGAGCCTGGAGCCTGGATACCCCAAGGCCAGCTCTATAAGGACTGAGAGGAGGTGGACAAGCCCCAGTGGGCCTTCAGAGGGGGCTGACAGGGATGGCAGGAACACAGTGCACTGTCCTCAGGGGGGAGGCCAGTGCTGAGCCTTCTTCCAGCCACAGCAGACCCTGAAAGGTCTCAGAGGGTTCTCTGAGTGGGGAGGTAGTCTGCTCACAGTGCAGAATTCGACCTGGGCCCCATGCTAGCCTTGCTTCTGCCCAGCTGAGTCCACCCCAAGAGAGTCCAGTGCTCTTCATTCCCAGAAACGTGCTCCAGCCTCTTCTTCTTGCCTCCTCCTGGCAACCCCCACTGACCACTACTCATCTTGACAGAGGACACAGCAGCTCTTGGATGTGTAGGCAGCAAAGCTGCCCTGTAGACACCACTACAGACCCCCAGAAGCCAGGTCATAGCCCATCACACGGCCAACAGGATGCTGGAGTGAAAACAGAACTGAAAACAAAACATAAATGCTAGATGGTGTGGTGGCTAGTCTGGAATCTTGGCACTTGAGAGGTTGAGGCAGGAGGATTGCCTGAGTTCCAGGCTAACCTGGCCTCCATAATGAATTCTAAGCCTACTTTGGGGTACAATATGAGATTCTGTCTCAAAAAAAAAAAAATCTAAACTAAGTAAAAGAAAATTCTGCTGTGAAGAAAATACTTTAGGAAGGGCTCGATTCAGGGCCCGTGCAGGCTGAGGACTGCCCCAACCATCTAAGGTCCGATCTGCCCCTAGCCGCTCCCTCAATGGGGGAGGGGGCCGATGCCTATCTATTGGTGAGGGTGTTGGAAAGAGGTAGACCACAGTGAGGGGGGGGCCAGACGAGATCTAATCCAGGCTTCAAGCATCTGGAGGCAAGCCCCATTCTCCTCCTAGGCTCTGAGACCCCAAAGATCAGACACACACACACACACACACACACACACACACACACACAAATGCACACACACACACACATGCTGGGTAGGTGAGTCTACAGTGATTGGTGGGGACAGGCTTTAACACAGCTTTCAGGGAGGGGGCAATGGAGGTGACTAGGTATGCAAGGAACCCATCCCAGGTGTGTGTCACCTTAAATCCCCGTGTCTGGCTCCAGCGATGGCTCCCCCAAACTTCCAGAGGCCGTCTGATCCCCCAACCCAAGGCTAAGGTCAACATTCCCTGGTGTGGGCACTGATGGCACCTGACTCTTAGAAAAACATCCCCGAGATCCCTCTGACCCACAGCACTCCATCTTTGAGGATTTGGTGTCTAAAGTTGCCCCCACTGCCCTGGCTCCTCTGTGAGTGCCTCTTAGCCCATGTCCCTGTGCATACTGTGGACAGAGAGGTGGACACCACAAAGGCCTTAAAATCTTCGTTCACCACCGTCCAGGCATTAGGCACCCCGACCCCCCCCTTTCATGCCCCCAAGTAAAAAAACAAAGAACTCATAAAATTAAAATTTTAAATGCTTTATTTGGATTGCAAGCATTAATGGGTTAAAGACAAAACCCAAGCTTTGGATTTTGCCAGAAAATAGCATGTTAAAGGGGCTGAGTTGAGGCAAACAGCCCGGGCCACTGCTCGATGACAGGCACAGTGGCACAGGTGACATGTGGCGTTTGGCGCGTGGGGGTAGTCTTCAGGTGATGACAAGAGGGGCCCAAGAGGGGGTCCCGCTGAAGACAGCGGGGAAGAGACACGATGGAGGGCCACACTAGGCACGGAGACCGGGCAGGTGCCTGTGTCAAGACGGACAGTGACGGGGAGAGCTGCAGATTTGGGGACACAGAGGGTAGGCCAGCAAACACCCCCGAGAGCACCCATCCCTGCGAGGCTAGTAACACTGGGTGGATGGGTGTCTGGCTGAATGGGCAGGCAATTTGGGGTGCCTCAAAGTCTTTTGGGTGTCAAGCCAATTTGTTCTCCAATTACGACAATTTACTTTTTTGGGTTTCTGTCCAGTGTTCCGAATGGCCCATTCTTCAGGTGCTTGCAGAGGGACCCTCTGTGCTGTGGTCGGGCTGACACGGACCGCCCCCAAGGGTGGTGGCAGCCCTGTCGCCTAGGCCCAGAAGTGTCAGGCCTCTAGACTACTAGTCGGACTGCTGGGCAGGGGGACTGCACTGGGTGGCAGAAGTGGGGGTGAGGTAAACCTCCCAGCCGCCCTGGTCCCTGCCACAGTCCTAGGCTCCGTGGGGTGGCTGCTACGGCTCACCAGACCCTCGAGCCTCGGGGCCCAGGCGACCCCCTTGCACAGTTCTCCTGGCTCTGCAGGCTCCAAGCCTCCTGGCCTCCTCAACTCCAGACCTCGCCCCACCCTGCCCACAGGAGGTCCGTAGAGCTTGGGATCTCCTGGAGACAAGGTGGGGGCTGAGGAGCAGGCAAGATGACACTTAGGGAGGGGGGAGGACTCCCCAAGTGCTCGGAAGGCGGCCACCCTGCTCCCGCCAGATAGAGTCCCTCTACTCATATCTACAGCCCCTTCCCCCCCAGCTGGCCAGTGCCAGCTGGGGGCCCCATCTTTTGTGACCTCCGAGCACCTTCTTGACACTTGGGGAGACACTGCCCCGCCCCCCCTCCACCCCTCAAGACCTCTGGGGAACCAGCCACTGTCCCCAGAAGGCAGGCCTGGTAGTGGCCTTCTCAATTCCCTGGATTTCTCTGTGGGTGCGTGGCCAGCACCCCACAGGGACTCCACTCCCAACCCGGCCCAAGCGATAGAGACAGATAAAAAACAAAAATCAAATCAAGGGCGATAAATGGCGGAGAGCAGGACGTGGTGGTGGTGGTAGCTGGCTTTGTTCGACTTTCATGGTCACTGCTCCCCTGTTACATAGGAGTGGGTACAATTTGGTTATATGAGCGCATTAAAAGCTAAGGAGGGATTAAAAAAAAAAAGAAAAAAAAAAAAAAGGAAAACATGCCCCAAGAAACAAAAAGAGGGGAGTAGGATATTGGCATAAAATTTGGGCTCCTGGTTTCTCGGTCATTCTGCAAGTTGACCTATTTCCCACCCACCCCTCCAACCGCCAGACTTCCCACACTCCCCACCATCTTTGCCAGTCGCCTGGGGAGTCCCTAAAAAGTGGGGAATCCCCAGGAGACTGGCAAAGATGGCCCCTAGGTGTGCCCGGGGGATGTCCCCCAGGTCTTTCTTCCAGGAGCACACCCAGGGCCAGGCTGCTGGAGCTTGTCTTGCTCGGCAGTGTCCCACCCACCCCTCCAACCGCCAGACTTCCCACACTCCCCACCATCTTTGCCAGTCGCCTGGGGAGTCCCTAAAAAGTGGGGAATCCCCAGGAGACTGGCAAAGATGGCCCCTAGGTGTGCCCGGGGGATGTCCCCCAGGTCTTTCTTCCAGGAGCACACCCAGGGCCAGGCTGCTGGAGCTTGTCTTGCTCGGCAGTGTCATCTCCATCTGGCCAAACTCATTCCGTGGGCAAGGCCAATTCACAGCATGAACGAGGCATTGGCATGGGGGGGGGCATGGGGACAGGCACTGAGAAGGAGTGAGCCTTGTGGGACACTTCCCTCACTGTGAAAGATGGAACTCACAGGACCCACAAACAGCGGAAACTGGATTATGGGGAAGGGCCTGAAATCATGCAAACTGCTTAGGGAATTTGGGGTGGCCCTTGGTCCTGTCTGGGCAACATGGTTCGAATAGGAGTTGCTCAGCCCTTTCAACATTTTTTATCCAATTTTGTGGGGCATGCCTGCCTCTGTGTGTGTGTGTGTGTGTGTGCACGCGCACGTGCACAAGGGTGAGTGTGAGCATGTGGTTTTTAGGATAGGGACAGAAATATGAGATTTTGGAGGTGGGGGTTTGTGCCAATTAAGCTTTGTTTGCAGTTTTCCCATTCCTTGCGTCTTACTGGGCCCCTCAACCCAGTCCCCTGGTGACATGGTGACATTTGCGATGGAAAGGCCGGTAAAGGATGTTTGGTCGGCGGTTGATGTTGACAGCCAGCTTACACTAAAAGTGCCCAGGTGAGAAGGATGGAGGAGACACTGAGACAACGACAAGCCCACTGTGAAGTTTTGAGCCCCTTTCCTTTCTCTTGGTTTCCGAGATCCAAGTCCAAGCCAATTTGACTTAAGATCGGAACAGGCAGAGATGAAAGGGTGGGGGTGGGGCCAAATTCATTTATTTTGCCAATTGTTTCTAAACCAATTTCTTTTTAGTATTTTTTCCAGCCAATTGATTACTTTAGTTATTTTATTTTTAAAAGCTAATAAGCATTTTGGATGTTTCTAAAAAACCGATTTGTTTTAAGGGGGCTATATGTTGTTAAGTGTTTTTATGTACGTATATAATGAGGGGATCAGTTGGGATGTTTAGAGCCAATCAGTTTGATTTTAAAGAGTTTTTACGTGCATAGATAATTCTGTGGGGGGTCACTTGGGTTGTTTAGAGCCAATCAGTTTGGTTTTAAAGAGATTTTACGTGCATAGATAACTTTGTGGGATAATTTTGGGTTGTTTAGAGCCAATCAGTTTGGTTTTAAAGAGTTGTTGAGATTTCCTTGCCTGAGATGGAAGGGGGCAAGGAGGGGGGCAGCCTGATGTGGGGAGGCGGGGCATGGGGGAGGGGGGGACCATGGAGGAGGGAGTGGTGCAGAGAGATCTTAGAGGGGGACTTGATGGAACCGTCCCTGGTCAAGAGGAGGTCACAGGATGATGGCACTACATTGCAGAATTACCACACAATTTGGTTCACTGATGATTGATGGACTTCTCCGAAGAGGCTCCCCCGTGGGCGGGGTCTTTGGCTGACATGGCAATCAGGGGACGACGCTTGGCCTCTCTGAAAGCTTCGAGCTCTCTGGCGAGCATGCGACCCCGGCGGGCACGCAGGAGGGCAGGCAGGCCTCTGCGCAGGCGTTGGGCGGATTGTCTCCAGGTGTCATATTGGAAAAACTTGCCCACGGGGTGTTTGGGGACGTCGTCCTGAAGAGGAGGCGCTAGTCAGTGGGTGTCAGGGTGTCATGTTAGCCTGAGTTCCAGCCCAAGCCTCACATGACCTCACCCACCCCCACCCCTACGCCCACCCCT